TAGAAATGCGCACAAACATTTGTCACAGTCGATAATATAGAAGGCAACGCTCAGTATGAGACTAATTTTACTCTCTCCACACACAAATGATAGCTGGAAAATCTAATAAGCGAAAAAACAAAAGAGATAAAACCGGCAGTATCTGGACAAAAGCGCGTCCCGGTCGACAAAGGGGAATTTTCCTTTCCTCCCTCCTCTCCGTTCGTCACTACATCGGGAGCCCCACCCCCTCCCTCGGGCAGCCCGCTAGCTCCCTTCGCTCGTCCTGCCACATCCTCTTCCTCCTCGATGGTCCCGTTACACTCTTCCCTCGCTGGCTGACACTAAACTTAAACTGTCGCGACAACCGAGGTGGGAAAAGGGGACAGGCTTCTAGGGGAGGGTGACGGGGGTATCGAGTAGAGTTTTCTGCGGTAAAACAGCTGCCACCTGAGCCTCTTGCCTCCCCTCCCCCTTCCCCGAGCTCCTGGACTACCGTAGCCATAAAAAAATTGGAAATTGTACTGATGTGAAGGTATAATACAATAAAAAAAACGACTGAAAAAAAAAGACAAAATTGTTAAGGCCATACCGAATTTGCGGTTTTCTCCTCAGCGCAAGCAAAGTTGCAATTATTGAATTCAGAGATCGCGAAAATACTGTCGGAATAACAGCGAACGATCGTCCATAGGAGAGCGAAACGTTCAGCGACAATAAATGAGCGCACAGCGGTACTCCGTCCATGAAAAATTCGTGCACTTCGCGAACCTGCAATGTTTGCGCCTCTTATATAAACGGAGAGAAAACACTTGGGAATGTAGCTTGAAACAGATACATTTAAAAATCTGATTTGCCAACTATGTAACTAACATCTTTTCTAGTTGCTTTGAATAATGTTGCATCACCCGATGGATAGCCTGCAATTCGCTCTGCCTTCCGAAGAAATTACCAGCTGAACAGTCTCTCAAACATAGGCGGTCTCCTGGAGGAGGGGGCGATTTCTCTTCCCCCTCCCTCTCCCGCCAATCCGTACACCACTACCTTGGAGGCCCAACCTTTCCCTCGACCACTT